GTTGGCTGGCTGCAGCGGCGCCGGTGCCGTCTCGCCGGGGCCCAGGGCGGCAGGGGCTTTCGCTGGCCCGCGCATGCCTCCGGGGCCGCCTGCCCGGCGCCTAGGGCTAGGGTTTAGGGTTTAGGGTTTAGGGTTTACCGGACGATGGCGAGGGCCGCTCTTCTGAAAAGCTTTTCTATGCACTTCGATAAAGATCTAACCCCCGCCTCTCTCGCGTAGTCCCGGACAATAACATTGAGGGCTGAGGGCTCAATGGAAACCCTCGAGTCGTTCAAGCCTGCACCAAACCCTAAACCCTAAACCCTAAACCCTAAACCCTAAACCCTTGGCCCTAGACCCTAAGGGCTTCCACGCTGCAGCCGCTGAGTCCTCTGGCCAGCGGTTAGAATTCAGAGTTTAGGGTTTAGGGTTTAGCGGAGCCGGGACGCGCCACTCCCGTGCATCCTTAGTCGGAGTTGGGTTTAGGGTTTAGGGTTTAGGGTTTAGGGTTTGCCTGTAGCCTCTGCCGTCTTGGGAATCAAATACTGCTTTGCAATTGAGACTTTTTCTTCGTGGATATATCCAGCAATCCGAATTAGCTCCATGCGGTCCAGCAGCGGCCCTGCCAACAAACCCTAAACCCTAAACCCTAAACCCTGAGTGGAAAACCCTAAACTCCAGCAGAACAGCAGCAGCTCTCTCGGTCGTGCATCGGCAGTTCTCTGCGGCGCGCCCCGCAGGCCCCAGAGCGCGCCCCAAACCCTAAAGGGTTTAGGGCTTAGGGTTTAGGGTTTAGGGTTTGGACCTGGAATGGCGTCTTGGGCGTTGGCAGTGCAAACAAACAAAACCCTCGACAAGTCCACAGGGGCGTCGACATAATGGTCTCGAAATAAATTGTTTTGCGAAGGGTCTAAAACTTCGAGAAGTGCAGAGGCGGGGTCTCCTCGAAAGTCCCTCCCCTGAGGAAACCCTAAACCCTAAACCCTAGACCCTAAACCCTAAACTCTGCGCCCCGCCCCAGTTCCCAAGCCCCCAAACCCAAGAGTAGACCCAAACCCTAAACCCTAAACCACACGCAGGCGGCGACGCCCGCCTGCAACGCACTGCCCCCATAAGCAGGGGGTAGGGTTTAGGGTTTAGGGTTTAGGGTTTACGAGTTTGTCAATCTCGTCCAAAACTATCAAAGGATTCATTGTTCCCGACAACTTCAAAGCGTTTATTATTTTTCCCGGAAGGGCCCCGATGTAAGTTCGGCGGTGGCCCCGCAGCTCGGCCACGTCAAACAAACCCCCTGCGCCAAAACCCTAA